ATTAATCTATCATAAATTCTATATATTATATCCACCAGGAACATAATCGTCGACTAGTTTTCGTTATAGTAGCAGCAGTTATTTTAAAATCACAAAAAAATCAGCAAAAAATAAAGTTATGGAATTTTATTGAAAATTTTCTGCAATTCTGTATGGAATTCTTCCAAAAAAAAATTCGCAAAATTACGAAAGGAATACTTTCAAAATTTTGCGGAATTCCGTATGGAATTTCCGTGGAGTAATTTCCGTAGAATCGTTTCACCTGGGTTAATAGAGTCAAAAGATTTAGTTAAATTGGAAATTTATTGAAATTGCTTTACGAAAATATTAAAAATAGAAGGGAATTTCCTATTCTACATATAGAAAATAGAATAAATAAATTTTTTGGAAAATAACCAAGATATACGAAGAAGAAGAATTTTGTGCATCTATATAGTGGTTTATCAAATGTATAATTTTTTTTTTTTTTTTTTTAAATAAACATAAATCGCGACTGGAATTTTTAAGTAATTTTATACCTATTGTGTATATAATATAATTCTAGAAAATGTCTTTAGAAATGAAGATTCATTGTTATGGAAAATGTTGGTCAGGGCCAAGAAACAATAACACATGGTGTATATATCACATATTTTTCATTTAAATTTCACTATAGATAAATTATCGTGACTGTGATTTAAAATAAATAAATTTTAAATGACAACGTATATGAAAAAAAAATTTATTTAATTCAAATAATCGGTTACTTGATTATTATCAAATAAATATATTTATTTGTATACACGGAAAAAAAGAAAAAGTAATTTTTACACATTATACTTTTAGAGTAAAACGGGAACTGTCCAAAATTTCTACGCATTTCTGGCAACTTTTACGCAAAAATATAGTAAAATTGACTATTTCTGTAGTAAATTTTATTGTTTCCGTATAGTAAATTTTACTGTTTCCGTAGTAATTTTTACTATATTTCTGGAGTAAATTTTACTATTTTTGAAGTAAAAGTTGCCAGAAACGCGCAGAAATTTTGGACAGTTTGCCCATTTTACTCTAAAAGTATGTAAAAATTATTTTTTCTTTTTTTCCGTCTATCATTATTTGAGATGATTTATTTGTTTTAAATACAAAAATTATTGGTTCAAATGTACGGTTTATTTAATTTAAATAAAAATTATTTGGTTCAAGTAAATATTTATTTGATAATATAGTTAAGTAATCCAGTATTTGAATGAAATAAATTTTTTTTTTTTTCAAGTGCCAATGCATATAAAAGAATGATAGCACTATATATACATTATTTCCTTATTTATCGACAAGGTTTGGCTTCTTATGCATTGATTTATAACGAGATTCTTTATATGGGAATTGTAATTTCAAAATCAGCATGCTATTTGTGTATAAAATCAGTAATAAAACTACTTGCATAATCTTTTTTTTTCTATATATATATAATATATATATACAACATTGAACTCTTGCGATAGAATTCAAGTTGAAAATTTTTTACTATATTAAATCGAGTTTTAGTAATAAATTATTATTTATTATACGACATGCTATTAAAATAAATGAGCAATAAATAAAATTTAAATCACAATTGACGTCGAATATATATATATATATATACAAAAAATTAAAAGGCATTAAAATAAGCTGCAACACGCTTATTATTTTAATCCAATTTTGCTTATTTTAATACCAAAATCGATTAAAATAAGCAAAATTGGATTAAAATAATAACTTATTTTAATGCCTTTTAATTTTCTGTGTATATAAGAATATGACATTAAAATATACACAAATTTTAAATCATGAAAAAGTAACTAAGAACGTTTTTTTCTAATTTATATAGAAAATTACAAATTGACATTAAAAAAAAAACAGAGAGAAAATTCTGTAACAATAAAACGGAAATTTTATAATTAACATTGTTATCTTCCCATTAACGTATAATGTCACATATATATTGAAATACTTGAAAAAAAAAGAAATTCGTCTTTTTGTCTAATTATGCACTTTAATTTTATCAATCGAGTAAGAAACGTACGTTTATGTCTTTATAAAAAAAGAAACAGCACGTGCCGATGACAAGTCAAGTATATAGTACAGTTATAGTGTAAGTTCCATTCATTTATTTAGTTGGTTCATTGAAACATTTATTTCTCTCGTGTGCGCGTGTAATAATTACCAACATCTATATAAAGTCATGTCCCTCAATTGTCTCTGGGTGCAAAACTAATTAAAAGTATCCGGTTCGTTACATATATTTTCGCGCGGTTCATTAGCAACAATTTTCTCTCTTTCATAAGAGACCATCTTTTTTTTTTTCCCCCCGTAAAAACAAAATAACATTATTTAACATTTTTTTAAAAACCTTTTTTTTTAGGGTTTCGTGGCTCAGGCCCGAAAGCCTTATAGTCCCTCACAGCACCAGATATCCTAGGATATTCCAAAAACATCCCTTGGATATCCTAGGGATACCCCAGGGATATCCTAAGGATACTTTAAGGTTATCCAAAGAAGCGGCGGTTAGGATATCCTGTGGTTATCCTTAGAACGTCCTAAGGATATCCCTGGAATAATTAGGGATGTCCTTAGGACGTCCTAAGGATATCCACAGTATGTCTATATTATCTTAAGGGTTAGAATATCCTTGAGTCGTTCTAAAAATGTCCCTAAGGTATCCATAAAACGACCCTAACATACAAATTAATTAAATAAAAATGGAAAACATATTTTTTGGATGTATTTATAATGCATTTCCAAGATATCTAAAATGATTTACCTTGTCTACAAGAATTCAGTGACGTCACCGGGAGGGAATGTAACTTTCCCTCCCGCTCGTCGGAAAAGACATACTTTTCTCCCGCTACACAGGTAAGAAATGGTGTACTTTCGGTGCGTGTGTGAGAACAAAAATTTTCATATATCCCCACGATATCACTAGGATATCCCTGGAATATTCCAGGGATATCCCTAGAATATCATCAGGATATCCCAGAATATCCTCAGTATATCCCCAGGATATCCCAAAAATATCCTACGTAACGGCGGTTTGGATGTTCTGAGGATATCCTCAGGATATCCTATGGAAGTTTTCAGGATATCCTACATTAGTTCTGAGGATATCCTTTTGTTGTGAGGGGTTTTGCTTTGGCGTCCGTCCGTCCGTCCGTCGTACACTCATATGGTTGCCATAGCAAGCGTTTCCATAGCAACTGTTTCCATAGCAACCGTTACTATAGCAGCTGTTACCATGACAACCGTTATAATAGCAAACATTACGATAGTTGTAAGCGTTACCATTGCAGGCCACGAAACCCTGCAATGGTATTTAAATCAAAAATTTTTGTATTTAAAATATAGTTAAATTGACTCAAAATTTATTTGCTTCAAGTAAATATTTATTTGATAGTAAAGTTACCAATTTTGTTTTTTTTACAGTGCGTTTCAGGAGTGACAACTTAATATCAATGACTTTCTGACCCGTGTAAACAATGCAAAATTAAGTTAAATTCCCCAACGAAGAAGATATATATATATAAAAGAAAAAAAGAGAGAGAAAGATAAATGAAAAAAAAATAACTTGTCTCCCAACTCTCTGCAATTTAGTACGGGTTACATTATTTAATACATTGGCTTGATTGTTTCAATGAGCCCCTATATATTTTCTTCTTGACTTTCTTTAGAGCTCGAGAGAAAGATGGAAATTATTTCTTTAGAGAATAAACAATACAAAATTTAAAGTGAGAAAGAGATGAAGCAAAACCTCCCACGTAGAATGTAAATATATTATGTCCGAAAAGGTCATACACTGAAGAAAAAAAAAAAATTTATTTGATTCAAATACTCGATTACTTGACTATTATCAAATGAATATTTACTTCAATCAAATAATTTTTTTTTTCATTGTACAAAGTAAAGTATAAATGAATTTTGATTCTTTTTTTTTTTCAAAAAATAAATTTTACGTTTTCAACTTGAGGGAAGTTTGAATTTCACAAAAGAAAAGGAAAAATCACTAATTGACTAATGATATAATAATAAAAGTAAAAGATAATAATTTTCTGTCAATGTATGACATTGCCCTAATCTACTTGCACTCTTAGATTATCGTATATCTTTTCCTTGAAAACAATTTTTCTACTCAGCAATAATTTATATGTTGGATTTGTCTGCTCTCATTATTCTCAAACTTTGTGTAGATAATTTTTCAAATTAATTAAAAACACTGAAAAAAAATTCTAGTTATAGAATAACCAGAATTCTGGTTAGGGTATATTTAACATTTTGATTCTGGTTAGGTTAACCAGAATTCTGGTTATTTTAACGAGAATTCTAGTTAATTCAACTAGAATTCTGGTTAACACAACTAGAAAGTAATGTTCAATATAGCCTAACCAGAATTTTTTTTTCAGTGAAAAAAAAAAATTATTTAAACTAAATTTAAATATGAAATTTCCAAATTTTGAAAAAAAAAATTTTTTTTGAATATACTAATGATAAAAGTGTTACTATAATATTTTATTGTAACAAATTTGTGTATCTACTTTTTAATATATGAATATATATATATATATATATAATTTTTTAAATAATTTTATGATGTCGCGAGGGACGCGAAATATTTTCGATAGTGCGCAACTACTGTGCTTTTTATATCGCAATTCAAGGTGAAGGCATCGGAGATAATAAAAATAAATGGCGATTAGCCATGGCATGGATGCAATAGCAATTAGTCACGCGTCACGGTATTACGGCATATCTTTCGCGGTCTTTGAATTCAAAAAATGCACTTCTCGACTCTTCTTCTTTCATTTATAATCTCCATTTCTCATCATTTCGATGTTTTCTACATTATTAATATTATTATTTATTTATTTATTTTTAATCGAAATTGTAGGAAATTTGTCAAAAATAAATAATCTATTTTATATGATATAGGACCAAATTTTAAAGAGGATCCAATTATTGTTTATAATTTATATCATTAAAAAACTAACCTTTTGTAAATCGCTTCACTTTTTCCTATATGTCCTCATTTGTGTCGGCATAGTAGCATCTGAAACAAAAAGAATAATGTATAAATTAAAAATGATTTTTTTTTATAAAATTCATTCACATTATTTTTTATACAAAGATTTGAAAATTTATTTTCAAGAAAAGAAACTTCTATCAAGTTTCAAAAATTAAGAATTTTTGCTAAGGTAAAGTTTACTACCATATGGTAACTGTTACCATGGAACCGCTGTCATAGCAACGGTTGCTCTAGAAATCAACTATTGTCATAGTAACTATTACCATAGTAACTGTTGCCATAGTAAATATTGCCTTAATATCTGTTGACATAGTAACTTAATTTTGCCATAGTAACTTTTGCCAAAGTAACTATTGCCAAAGTAACTAACTTTTGCCATAGTAACTGTTGCCATAGTAACAAGTTTCATAGTAACTGTTGCCCTAGTAACTTTTTCCATAGTAACTATTGCCATAATAAGTAACTGTTGCTACAGTAACAATTGTCATAGTAACTGTTGCCCTAGTAACTGTCGCCCTAGTAACTTTTTCTGTAGTAACTATTGTCATAGTAACTAACTTTTTCCATAGTAACTTTTGCCATAGTAACTTTTGCGATAATAACTGTTGCCATAGTAACTATTGCCATAGTAACTTTTGCCAAAGTAACTGTTGCCATAGTAACTATTGTCATAGTAACTAACTTTTTCCATAATAACTATTGCCACAGTAACTTTTGCCAAAGTAACTATTGCCATAGTAACTAACTTTTTCCATAGTAACTATTGCCATAATAAGTAACTGTTGCTATAGTAACAATTGTCATAGTAACTGTTGCCCTAGTAACTGTCGCCCTAGTAACTTTTTCTGTAGTAACTATTGTCATAGTAACTAACTTTTTCCATAGTAACTTTTGCCATAGTAACTTTTGCGATAATAACTGTTGCCATAGTAACTATTGCCATAGTAACTTTTGCCAAAGTAACTGTTGCCATAGTAACTATTGCCATAGTAACTTTTGCCAAAGTAACTGTTGCCATAGTAACTTTTGTCATAGTAACTAACTTTTTCCATAATAACTATTGCCACAGTAACTATTGCCATAGTAACTAACTTTTTCCATAGTAACTTTTTCCATAGTAACTTTTGCCATAGTAACTATTGCCATGGAAACGGTTGCATGTACGACGGACGGACGGACGGACGGACGGACGGACGTCAAATCGAAACTATAAGGCTTTCGGGCCTGAACCACGAAACACCTAAAAAAAAAACTTGCAAATCTTCTCTGAACTTGGAAATGTTTCAAACATATATATTTGTTATAATGTAAAGAATAAACTTTGAGAATTTAATATCCCATTTGAATAATATCGCAGTGTTTATAAAAAAAAAAAAAAAAAAAAAAAAACACTACACTTCTGTAAAAAAAAAACGATAAGACTCTTTTTGCATGAATTTCTTAATTTAATACCGAATCGTTAATTAATTTTTATAATTCTAGATAAAACTTGAAAAGATAATAATTAATTTAAACGAATATTGTATCATTATAAATTCCAGTTGCACAAGACTTTCTCATAAAAAAAACAAAGTATTTCTTTTTTTTTATCCTTACAGCAGGTTTTTACTTTCTAATTAATTCAAACGAATTCAATATTATGTTGCTTTACAAAAATATAAAAAAAAATTATTTTTTTTTTTCTTTATAAGAATAGAAAGTTATATTCTAACAAGTTTGTTGATATTATAAAAAATTTCATAGGTGTGAAAATTATAACTGATTATTAAAAATTTTTTGAAACAAAATTTTAAGCATCTTTTAAATTTTAGATTTTGCAATAATTCTTTCTTTTTTTTATGACTTAAGGGGACCACACGCGCAGTTTTAACATATAGTGATATATAAAAAAAATTTTAATTATTTTTTAATTTTAATATAATATACAAAAAGAAAAATGTCCACATTGCAAATTTGAATTGAGGCCAAATTATTTGCAACGTCGTCGCGTCCTGCAAAGACAGAGTTGTATAAAGAGATTATTTCTTTCTTTCAAAAGAAAAAAAAAAAAAAAAAAAAAAACCCCCGTAAATACCAATTTGTCGATTAATAAATAAAGAAAAATAACTGTATTGGAAAATTCTTTTTTTAATTTTTGTTTTCGAATATATAAAATACCAATACTTGAAATGTTAGACTTGGGCCTTTTGCTAAAAAAAAAAAAAATCGAGAGCAAGCAAACTTGTACCTGTTTATGCAAAGTGTAAATCTTGTTTCTGGTGAATTTTTTTCGAAAAAAAAATTTTTTTTACCCTTTTAGTATCTTGTGGATTTTATTGGACCGCAAAACAGCAAAATGAGAGGCGACCTCAAGGCGCCTTTGGCGATTAGCGACACCCACGTGTCTTGCCGCTGAACTTTTCCTTCTTTATTTTTATTCACCATATTACAGTATAATTAACCAATCATTTCGCGTATTGGTAATAACGGATAAAAAGTGTCAATAATTGTATTGTAATATAAAAAAATGTCAATAGTCACTTTAATAAAAAAAAAAAAAAAAAAAATTTTTTTTTAATTTCGCGCCATTATCTAATAGTTTGATGTTACAATGTTGGCACTTGTACCTGTTGTTAATTCACACGATTCCTAACCTAAAAAGTTTTGGCTGTAATTAATTCATGTGAATTATTTTACTTTTTATTGTATTTATTTCTTTTGCTCTGCATAATCAAAATTTTTAATAACTATATTGTATATATATATATATATGTAAGAATCGTTACTGTGTCGCAACTATGAAAACATTGCACAAGTCATCAACCTCAAAAGTACCTCTTATGCCAAATTGTTTGGTCAGTATTCTCGAATATGATTCAACACTAATAAATGTTTAAATATAAAAAAAAACTATACTCTCTAAATCTGAATTAGTAAAAATGTTTACTAATTTAAATTAATGACTCACTTTTTGCTTCTGAATTAGTAAAATTTTACTAATTATTAGTAACTTTTAATAACAATTATCAAAATTTACACTCTAAATTTGAATCAGTGAAATTTTCACTGATTCAGATAGAGAGTGTAACTAATTCTAAAGCAAAAAATGAGTCACTAATTTAAATTAGTAAACATTTTTAATAATTCAAACTTAGAGAGTATTGAAATCACAGAAAATTAAAAGGCATTAAAATAAGCTGTAACGCTTATTATTTTAATCCAATTTTGCTTATTTTAATCCCTTTTGGTACTAAAATAAGCAAAATTGGATTAAAATAATAAGCGTTGCAACTTATTTTAATGCCTTTTAATTTTCTGTGTTTCAATTTCATGTGATCCAAATTTTTTTTTTTTTTTTTTTTTGAACAAAATTACTTATTTATATAATATAAATGAATATGATAAAAAAAATATATGTTATGATACAAAAAATATTGCAAAATAACAAGTGAAAGTTAATGTACGTGACTCAATATTTATAAGCTAAAAACTTATGTAATGGACGATTTATAATCGCGACCCTCTTATCAGTAAAGAGTCTTCTGATAAAAATATAAATTTTTTTTTTTTTTTTTTTGCGCATAGTATTCAACCCTTATAAATTATCGTACACGAAATTAACAAACGTGCGCAGATTAGATATAGAATCAGGAAAAAAAAATTCCTCTTCACAATTTATTACTTTTATATATATACCTATATTATATTGAAGGATAAAAATGCAGTTTGTAACAAATTTTTAACTTATCGCGTAAGAACATTATTTTTGTCTAATCAAATATCCTGTTGAGACACTTATATTGCATGAAGATGCGTGCAACAAATTTTATTACTTTTTCAACTTGACACATTAATATATTTATGTCTATAGATTGTGATTTTAGTTTCTTTTTCAGATTTTACATGAAATTTACTTGTATTTCTTTTTTATACCTACGTACTTGTTGAGATAAAAATAAATATAAAAAATATGAGAGAAGCAGGCGCATTCAGCCTCCATTGCAGGGTTTCGTGAACTGTTGAGGTTATGTTTACTACCGCATGGTAACGGTTTGCCATAGTAATGATTGCTATGGAAACAGTTGTTATAGAAATGATTGTTATGGAAACGTTGCTATGGAAACGGTTCCTATGGTAACCGCTGTCATAGCAACGGTTGCTCTAGAAATCAACTATTGTCATAGTAACTTTTACCATAGTAACTATTGCCATAGTAACTAACTTTTGCCATAGTAACGATTGTCATAGTAACTGTTGCCCTAGTAACTTTTTCCCTAGAAACTATTGCCATAATAAGTAACTGTTGCCATAGTAAATTTTTCCATAGTAACTATTGTCATAGTAACTAACCCCAATGGGAAAAATACCATTGGCGTATTAATGGCCCAATAATGGGAGCCAGGGATGTCAATATAATTCCAATAATGGCACCCAATAATGGACCATTATTGGTAAAGTCATGGGCTGTCCACGCCGATGCCAATGATTGGCAACCATCATTGGCAAATTATTGGCAACCAATAATTAGCCAATATTAAAAATTTTAATAATAATTTAAAAAATCAATAATTTAAAAAAAAATTTATATTTTTATTATTTTTTAATAGTTATTATTATTATTATTTTATTTTTAATAATTAAATTAAAATAAAAAAATGGTCATCAAAGTATTAGTGAAACTATTTCTTCCAAAAAAGAGTTTGTCTCAAATCCAATTAATAGAAGAGACATCGGGCAGAAAAAAATTTCGACGAGAAAAAAATTTTAGATCACTGCTTATATACCAATCAAGTGGCATCTCAACTGCGAGAAACAGTGATGTTCGCCCTCCCTTTGCGGCATAGAGTGAACTAAAGTCCAGAACTGAGCCATCAGCGCAGCGCGGGAACATTTGAAAAATTTGATTTTATTAGATATTTTATTTTATTTTAAATATGACAAATAATTAACTTAATAAATAATTAATGTCATTAATAATTATTAATAACATAATGTCATACTTAATAATTCGTTAATTATTATAAAATAAAATATCTAATAAAATC